TCAGCAGGGAAGCTGCTTCATTATGCTCATTTAGGAAAAGAGCATTTCTTATGCAGTTTGCAAGAAGAAAAATAATGATCATGTAAACTGACTTGTTTTCCCTGTTAGATAAAAACCCTATTCATATAAACAGCCTTTTTATCACCTTCCAAATGTATCACTAAGACATATGAGGTGAAATTTAATTTTCAGAGTCTATAGTCAATAACTTAGGGTCATTTTTCTAAGACAAGACCTGCATACACCAAGTTTTTAAAAGAGCTGGAACGATGTCGATATACAAACCCAGCAATTTACTGGGTTTGGTATTTTTGTGCATGCATTTAACTTTTCACTATGCTTGCAAAGTAGAACAGTTGGGGTTTGTTTTTGTTACAGCTGACAAATCTTTTTAGTAACTCCATTCCTTTGTGTACCGTGTAGTGACAAATCAGATCGATAGGCATTACAGTACACAATGTGCCCAAAGATCCCCTGTCAAAGTCATTATTTACAACTGCCTACATTAGTCTAATATATGTGTGCCTGGAAGTAGAGGGGGAGAGCAAATTGAGGTAAAAGTTTAAAACACAAAAAGAGGAATATTTTAAGTGACTGCTTTCTGTTTATATGCAAACCTAATGCTTCAGCTATGACATTAGCAATGTATGTATACATCAGCAAGGAAAACATATCCAGAAGATGAATGATGCTTACTTCAGCATTGCGAGAAAAGCAGCAGGCTCAACATCTGGGATACGGATTTCATCTTTGTCCTCAGCAAGCTCTCCATAAAACATCGCATGGAATACAGAGCTCCCAACAGCCAGGACATACTGTTGAGAAAGGGAAATCTTATTTCATGCTTTAAATTGAAAGCACTGCCAACAAAAACAATGTGGGAGAGCCACTCTGAGCATACTGGGCTTCACTGACAGGCTCCATAGACACACTTCAGTAAGAAATGAAGTCCAAGTTAAGAACAAATTAAACGTTTTCCCTGCATTTTATTCTCATGGGTATAGATGCATTAGCTACTGGAAAACGCTCATATCCACCACAGAAGTTAACTGTTTCTAGAAAATCTCAAGAGCACTACTAATCAGCAGCACAAACTTTACTGCTTTGGCACAACAAATGTACTGTTTGACTGAAAACACAAAGGAAAACAAGAGGCAGGCTCTTTCACGGCACGTAGCCTTTTAAAATACAGAATTATGGCTGTCCCAGAAGAGCTGAGCCTCCCACGCTATGTCCTGGTGTAACCGTGGGAGCTCTCTCCGGCAGATAATGCAGCTGTTGCTTACTTTGTGTCCTGGCAGCCGCTGGGTCCCACCTGGTGGCCCGACCACAAAATGAACATCTGCCATCAGATCATTGTTGAACATCACTGCATTTCTGCAAACAGAGGGAGCGTGTTAATTTGTGGTGCCCAGCAACTCTCCACTTGCCCCAGACCCAAGAAATGTAATTTCTTAACAACATAAAGTTGCATGTTAGCAAAGAGAAACAGGTCACACTTTGCTTCAAGCTATTTTACACATTATCACGCAAATACAGCAGGGAAAATACTAAGCAGAAAAATGTGTGTGTGCAATAAAACAACCCCCCAAACTTCTGAGAACTTTTCAAAATGTGAAAATCAAAGTCAAGAGCATGTAGCACTGAAAATCCTTGCCAAGGTCTAAAAGCAAATCTTTAGGGGTATGCTGCATCTTCCAGCAACATTTCATTTACTTAAGACAAACAGCTGCACTCCCTGGAAAAGATACTAAAATATTTTCCATTACCAAAATGCTTGTTTCACACACACAGAGGGAGAAAAATCCATATAGATAAGCCAGAACTGTGTTTTCTTCAGAAAATAAATGCATTTTGCTACTTTTTATCCCTCCATTCAACAGCAAAAACAAACTGCCTGAACTTACCTCTCCCTGATGGTTGGATACATTCCTTGCCAGTTAGGTGCTGGAATAGTGTTGTTGTTATTGAGGTTTTGCTGATGATACTGCTGGACAGCAGTTGTATTAGTGTTGGCTGGTTTCTTTCGGGGAAAAATATCAGCAGCCATCTTCTTCTTCTTTTTGGTCTTCAAGGTAATGATTTCATAGCAAACTGGAGGCAATTTGCTGCTGCTACTGCTGCTGCTATTTCCTTTCTTAGAGCTCTTCTTAGACCTGTTCTTGACCGTCTCTGGAAGCATCAAGAAGAAGGTGAGACATTTCATGTTCTTTCCTTTCTCATCTACCATGAGTATACTCGTCTGTAGAGCCCGACAGCCTAACTAGCTAGGAACATTAAGTGATGCACGTGGAAGCTGTTACACAGAAAGCAGGGGAGCTGAGAGTTTGCTTCTTCTCCAGCAAGACAAGGTGACCTTTTCAGTGCACCGAGTAAAAAAAACTGACTTTAAGTCTGATCCAGCACTTGAATCGTTATATACATCCCCATCATTCCTGCCAGTTTTATTTCTTTCCAGATCTCCCGGTCAGGAATCGCCTGGCAGCGCTACACCTTGGGAAGAGGGCAGGCTCTCCGGCGAGCCCAAGTTGTGCGCGGAGGGGATGGGAGCGGAGTAGGTATCGCAGCGCGGCGGATGGAGCCAGGCAGCGCCGGAGCCAATGGCTGAAGTCACCGATAACGATTGGGCTCGCGCACAGTGACACCTATTGCAGCGCTCGCCGCTCCTCGTTAAAGCGACAGCGCTCGCACTCCGCGGCTCCCGCGCACACAG